CGTCAAAAATCTTAAAAAGATCCATAAGTAAGTTGTTGGAGATGTTTTAACATGTTCTTTTTAAAATACTTATATTTCATATTTTAAATTCAAATCTTATAATCACTAAAAATAACTTATACACTCATTAATGAAAACATAAAAAAATAGTTTTAAAACTAAGACATAATAACTTATCAACTCCTATCAAATATAATTAACTTATCAGATGTTCAAAATAAGTTTATCCAAACACATCAAACACCCTCTTATTATTTATCTAGCTAGCAACAAACTAAACAATTAAAATTATACTCCAAACACATTGTAATTCTTTCTCAACAAGAATGGTTTTGTACCAAATATGACCTTGGCATGCAATTTTCATCAATTCTCTATATTCCGATCAATCTTGTTAAAGAAGTTTCTATACACTTGTTAAAAAAGGTTATGTATGGAGGTAGGAAAGAGAAAAAATTGTAATCTCGGTCTAATAATCAATGTTAAATAACTCGTTAAGAACTCAAAGTAATATATTTGCAATGGGTAAAATCCCATTATTGTGCCAATAGCTCACAAATTATACCACACGAGGAATGTAAATTGCACTCGACAACCCACATGCGACCGATGAGTTCGACTTGAAAATTATTGACAACTGTGGATCAAATTGAACTCGAATCCTCAAACGTGGCGCTCTCTTTACTTTTCTTAGGGATACTTGGTTTCTAAGCAATCAAGGCCCAAGAGTTGAAGCCTAGCTACAAATTTTCCATAAAACATAAATTGGGTTTTAATAAATAAATATGGGTAAATTACAACCACCCCTGAGGTATGGTTAATTTACGAAAAAACCTCTCATGTTTAAATTCAAAATAATCATCTATGATTTTTTCTTAAACCTCCACCCTCAACTATGATTTTTTCTTACACCTCCACCCTTATGGTGTCAAATTTAAAATAATCATCTAGATTTCGTGGAATGTGCTCTAGTTTGTACTCGTTTTGTGTAAAAATACAGTTGCACCACAATCAGAGATATACAAGCCAAAAAACACATATTATGATCATCATGCTTCAAAATGTAGAGTTCGAATGGGATAAAACGGGTACAAAAGTGATAATATTCCATATAATCTCGAAGATTCCACTAAATTTGAAACCGCAAGGGTGGACGTCTAATAAATTTTATAGTTGAGGGAGGTGGTTGTAATTACCCAAACAAGAGAGGGGTTTTCGTAATTTGACCATACCTCAGGGGTGGTTGTAATTTACCCAATAAATAGAGATCTCTTGTCTTTAAAAGAGGAGAAAAATAAAGAAGTGGAGCCTAATTAGTTGAGTGGACAAAATAGAAGAATCTATGTGAAACAAGAAAAATGAGGTTATAAAAATATTCCACAAAGCAAAAAAAAAAGAAAAAAAAAAAGAAAAACAAAATGAAACTGGCCTTTGGAGATGGTGTGGAGGCCATGACTCATGCAAAGCTAGAGGTCACATATTTTGACGATTCTCTTATGGGGGCAACATACATTTTATTTCTTCATGTACACCAAAGAGAAGGGAATAAACACACACTAATACACACATTATATACACACACACACACTAAGGATTGAGGAGTGGTAGAGATTATCAAATAATGGTGATGGATTTGAAAGAGCATAGATGGATGAGGATTAATGATGATGATTATTATGATGGTTATTACTACAGAAGAATTGTTTGGTTTGTTTTGGTGTCGATTTGTATGATGTCGGTCATAATATGGAAATGCGCAGACGGTGCTTCTCGCAAACAAGCCGCTTCCTCCGACTCTAGTGATCAATATTACGGGGCCAATTGTGCTGCCGGCTGTGGTGCTGCTTGCGGTGCTTAAACTTTATTCTTTCGCCACAGGGTGGGGGAGTTATTTCTAGTTTAATTAATGTGTATTATTATTGTAATATATTTTTTTAAAGTTTATTTGAACTCGATTTGTTATACTGATTTAGGCATTGTTGCAGTCTCGTAGTTTATCATAAACTTGTAGCCAAACTTCGTGTTTGGTCCGATAACGGGTGTCTCGACTCTTTTGGTAGGTTCTCTCGAATGTAATTTTATCAATAAGGGAAATAGATATTTTTATTTCAATAAAAGTATTTTCCCGCGGCGTGCTCATTCGTTTCACAAAAATACCCCATATTTTTATTAGTTAAAAATTGTCAGGAACTCGGAAGATTACTGCCAATTTCATATTTTTTGTTGAAAATCAATACTTTTTATTGGGCATACTATGCCAAAATTACGGGAAGAGATTCACCTTCCATAGAGTTTACAAGCTCAATATGAGCAAGAGAATGGGCAAGGCTATTCCCACCACGCTTAACGAAAGAAAAAAGATACAAATCCAAAAACTAATAAAAGCGCGACATTCTTCTATTGAAGCACCAAAATACGCTAAGTTGATATCCGTACACCGGAGTGCATTGAAAACCGGTAGACAATCGCCTTCAAATACCACTGATTTCCATTATTTTTCTTTAGTTGTGATCACATAAAGAGCCGCTCGAGCTTCGTCGTTACTTGGATTAGGGCTCCCAACAAATTTTCGATAGCTACACCATAAACAAGCCCCATTCGAATCTCTCGCTACCATTGTCACCCTAAAATAATCGTCGAATACAGAAAACCTCGCATCGAAATTCACCTTAACAATGTCACCCTTCGGCGGTCTCCAACTCTCTTGAAGTGTCTTGATTTGTCCAATTTTCATAAGTGTACTATAATACTTTATTAAAATCATCGTGTTTCATTATTTGTCGGTAGTTTTCATAAATCTACTAATATATTTTAAAGTGTTACCTCAAAATATATAGGGTTTATTACAAATAAGTTCATCATGTGTTACTTATTCATAAAGGGGTCCAGACAAAAAAATATTGTACAAAAAATATCCAGACAATGTTCAGTGGTGTGTAAAAGACTAAAATATCCCCTCACATTTTAATATGCTCAAATTTCATCATTTAATTCAATTTAACCTTAATTTAATCCAAAATTCACTAATTATTCAATTTTAAGCCCTAACCCAATTTTGAGTACGATTTCGCCTGTCGCCGCCGTTCTCCGACTTCGACTTTTTTTTCCTTATGTGCTTCTTTCACTGATTTCCGGCATTGACTTTTTTTTTAAAAAAAATCTTTGGTTTTGCATTGACTTTTTTCGCCGGTCTCCGGCGGCATTGACTTTTTTTTTCCTTCAATATTTTTTGGCCCGCTAAAACAGTAATTTGCTGTGGTTGGCAGTCATATTAACTATATTATAGTTTAACACGGTAATATTGTTATATTACTTTCTTGCACAATAATATAACACAACAAAAACCACTATTATTGTGTAATAGAATAATATTAATATGTTGACCGTTCAACAAAGTCAAACATGATAAAAAGCCAAAAAAATTAATATTGATGTGGTTGAGAGTAATATTAGTGTCCGCCACAATATTATTACTGTAACGACAGTAATATTACCGGCAACCACAATAATATTATTGTGTTTACAGTAATATTACAATAGTAGACTGTAATATTATTACGTTAATCGGTCAACAATCAAACAATATAAAAGGACATAAAAAAATATTGATATGGTTGACTGTAATATTATTGTGTTTACAGTAATTTTACTGTCAACGACGGTAATTTTATTACTTTGACAGGTCAAAAAATCAAACAAAAAAAAAGGCAAAAACATAATAATATTGATGCGGTTGACAGTAACATTATTGTGTTTACAGTAATTGTGATGTCAAGGACAATACAATTACGTAAAGGTAATGTTCTTACTGTCGTTGACAGTACAATTACTGTCAATGAAAGTTCAATTGCGGTCAACGTTCGGCGGTGGATGTAAAAAAAATGGATAAAAATTTTAGGAAAAAAAAAAGTTATCGCCGGTGATCTCTGGAAACTGGCGGCAGAAAAAGCAAACAAAAAAAAAGTCAATGCTGGAAACCAACGGCAAAAAGAAAAAGTTAAAAAGAAAAAGTCAAAATTGAATTTTTGTTGTTAAAATCGATGAATTTGAAGTTAAATTGAGGTTATTAGGATTTGAGTTTAAAGGATCGGTGGTAATTTTGTTATATAAATTAATTTTGCTTTTATTTATAATACATATTAAAATGATGAGTTTATTGGTATAACCCCTGAATCTAGAATAATAAAGACACTTGGTCAGGAACTTATCCATGAAAACCTCAAATATACATATATATATATATATATATATATATATATATATATATATATATATATATATATGGGTAAATTACAAACACCCCCCTGAGGTATGGTCAAATTACAAAAACACCCCTCTTATTTGGATAATTACAACCACCCCCTCAACTCCTCAAATTTAGTGGAATCTTCGAGATTATATGGAATATTATCACTTGTGTACCCGTTTTATCCCATTCAAACTCTACATTATGAAGCAAGATGATCATAATATGCGATTTTTAGCTTATATATATCAGTTTGTGGTGCATCGGAAACTGTATTTTTACACAAAACGAGTTCAAACTAGAGCACATTCCACGGAATCTAGATGATTATGTTGAATTTGACACAATAAGGGTGGAGTGTAAGAAAAAATCATAGTTGAGGGGGGTAGATGTAATTATCCAAACAAGAGGGGGATTTTTGTAATTTGACCATACCTCAGGGGGATGTTTGTAATTTACCGTATATATATATATATATATATATATGGGGTGAATTACAACCACAAGGAATCAACTCTCAATGAAGTTGAAATTCCCACACGGCTACCAAGATTCGATCTTAGGACCTTGTACCAACTTACCACCCCGGAATCTAAAAGATTTTGTTGAGTTGACGCCGTAAGGGGGTAATTGGAGTGAGATACCCGAGGGCTAATTGTAATTTCTCAAACTAAAGGAGGATTTTCGTAATTTAGGCCTACCTCAAGGTTTTTTTCTTAATCACCCTAAAAAGAAAGATTATAAACCACAAACATACGATGGATAATGCATATTTCATGAGCAAGAATTTCTGTGAAGGAGTTTCTGCTAAAGGTGGTGCATAGAATCATTTACAAATAAAATAGAGCCTTCAAATGAATCATAAATCAAGATTGATTTCTATTAATTTCTTGAAAAGACTAAAAAAAAAATCTAATTAAATAAAAATAAATTTATAACCATCATAAAAACGAAAAACAAGTCTAGCCAGACAGCCTATCACTGTAATAAAATGAGACCTGTAATAAGGAGGAATCATTCATCTTCGTTAATTCCTTTCCGATCTTCTACCGCCCCAAAAAATGATTCTCGAAATTCTGTAAAACGAAACACAAGTTTTTTTAAACATATATATACATATATACGGTTGTAAAATGATAGGTGCGATTTGTTGTACCTAAGAAAAAAATTCAATAATGAAGAGCATCGGTAATTCGACCAAAAGCACTCATAGAAAACTCAAGTATGAAGAGAGGCAACTTTCTGGCACAACCCATCAACCTCTTCATTATGTTCGTCAATCTGTTCCTCCTACAAAATAAAATAAAATAAAATAAAAGGGCCAAAACGAGACCCGTAATTCAACATTATCACAAGAAAAATAACGCAAAAAGAAAAAAAAAAAAAAAAAAAAAAAGAAGTAAAAGCAAATTACCTCAATAACTTTTTTTTCTTTAACACCTATACACTTGGAAGCACTGATACTAGCACTCTTTAACAAGCTACGAGCACTGTAGTTTCCCTTATGTTCCGATCCGTCGCCTTCCATTTGAGGAATCTTTTCGGCATCATTGTCGTGAACAGCATCTTCTTTCGGTGCAGGGACTCTCTCTCTGACATGTAAATATGTTGCCCATAAATTTTCTCATAGAATGGCTTCTTCCCGTTATTTAAAATACCGAGTGACGAGCAAATAAAACGAGTATTGAAGAAATTATTTAGTCTACCTAGGTAACGAAACATTCTGCCTTTGGAGAGTGCCTCGTTCGCTTTTATGCTCCTCGAGATGCGCAAATTGCCTCTTGAAGCGATCAACGCCACTAAGAAAATTAAAAACAATAAGGAAAAAAATAAATCATAACGCACAAATATACAAATGCAAAACTATTATATAATTAATCAATTATATAATAAATAGCAAAGTAACTTCCAACAAAGAAAATAAATAAGTTAAATATATGCTTGATAAAACATGAAAAAAAGGCCAAACCTAGGATACATAAAGCCACTTGTTCGGTCACCGTCACGTAGATATTCCTCAAGCATATGAGGGTGGTACTCTAATATCTGTTTGCTTATGACAAAATTACCGAAATAAGTAACATCTAATAAATTCCAAAAAAAAAAAATTAAATTCAAGAAAGTAAAAAAAAAAAAAAAAAGTATATATAACGATGGAAGGCCTCTTACCTCTCGATAAATCAACTCTCTGACATCATCTTTTGCCAATTTTCGCCTCTCGAACTCAAACTCGAGCTTCGATATTGGTTGAGAGGAAGGCTCGCGGTCCACATTTGCCAAACCGTTAAAATACGGATCAGACAATAACTGCCAAAAAAAAAAAGAATTATAAAAAAAGATTTTATTACAAGATTTTGGGAAGTTTGAGTGGATTAAGAAAATTTACTTCAGCAGCAGTTGGTCTATCTTTGGGGTCGAAAGCAAGGAGCCGCTCGAGTATTTGAAGCGCTAAAGGATCGGCTTTCGGGAATTTATGAGAAAATGGAACAGCTTGTTTCTTACGCATACTGCTCAGATATCTCCTCGCCTTTTCATTTCTGATCTGCCGTTTAATTCACAACCAAAAACAAACCTTTGTTCTTATATATGTTTTTCGGAAGATAGGAAACTGTGAATTAAATAAAAAATACGATATTTTAAAAAAAAAAAAAAAAGAATTATTTTTACCCTTGCAATAGATTCAGGAGGGGGAGTGCCGAGCAAATCGGTCATTAAATCTAATTGGTGAACGACGTTTTTACCAGGGAAGAGTGGTTTTCCAGTTAGCATTTCCGCAAATATGCATCCAATGCTCCATATATCAATAGCCGGAGTGTACTGTATTTAGCAAATAATATTAACATTTCATGCAGTACATATTAAAACGAAAAAAAAAGAAGCAATTTACATAGAAATAATAAGATACTAAATTCGGAAGTACTAATATGATCAAGAAACAAAAAAAAAAAAAAACGAAGAAATGTTACAAATGAAATCCTTTACTCGTTCAAAGAAGTGTTACACGCACATCACATTCAAGAAAAACGACAAAACTAGCTGGTTAAGGTAGCAAATTCAGAAATCATTTAATTAGTATTAATTCATAATAACCGAAACCTGAAACCCGAAACGCGAAAACCCGAAACCGAAACCATTTAATAGACGAGTGAATACATGAAAAAATCGTAATACGGGTATATGTATTGACAGCTCAGCAAAAAAAAATGTAAGATTACCTTAGAGAAAAAGGAACCACATAGCTCAGGAGCACGATACCACCTCGTTGCAACATAGTCCTTCAAACAGCATCAAATTCGTATCAAATGTTAAAAAATTGAATCCGTACAAATTTTCATAACATAGAATTGATAAAAAAAAACTAAAGGTTCTATCTTTCAAAAGGAATTTGCTTACGGTCCAAAATATTGCCGACGGGGCATCATTAAAAGCCACGCGGGCAAGCCCAAAATCGCAAATCTTCAACTTACAGTCGGAGTTTGCAAGTATATTTCTCGGCTTCAAATCTCTATGAAACACATTTCCTGCAAAAAAAAAAAATTTAATCTTTCACCTAAAATAAGAAAAAAAAAATATATGACGAATTTAAAAATGCGAAAAAACAACCTGCATGAATATACTTCAAGCCACGAAGAAGCTGGTAGAGAAAATAGCGACAATGCTCGGGTGTAAGATCATCGTTGGCCTTAATAACTTGATGAAGATCAGATTCCATCAATTCGAAAACGACGTAAATATCTCGAAACTCCCTTCTAGAAGGTGGGAGCATAATATGCCTGATCTGGACGATATCCGGATGTCTTAAAAGCCGAAGAAGTTTGATTTCTCGGAGGATCCGTGTAGCGTCGGAAACATGCTCGAACACGTCGTTGATTTTTTTAATCGCGACTCTCTCTCCGGTGTGAGTGTCGATAACCGAACCTACGATACCGTAACTACCCTTGCCTATAACTTCTTGGATCTCGTACCGACTCGCCTCCCCGTACTCCGTAAAGAATTCAGCCTCTGCCACACCCTGCCAAAAATAAATAATAAAAGACAAAATTTATATACAAATTAGAAGTAGGTGCTTTTTTTGCACATTCCTTACACACATTACATGTGTTTTAGTTTTCACAATTACTAAGACAAACATAATTATTACAACACAATTAATACATGTCCGAAATTAAAAGATCGAAAATGAAACACTTCGGATCATACACCAAAATCAGAAAAACAAAAACACAAAAACAAAAAACAAAAAAATCAAGAAACACACACACACACACACACACACACACACGGATCTGCAGAAATATCATGACAATAATAATAAAAAAAAAAAGACGAAACAAAAATTAAAGGGGCGAGGAATAATTAGAACCTTGTTGTGGGGATCCATGGGGGAAATTGAATTGATGCAGATTATAACTTCAGATAATATGAATTTATTTTTGTTGATTCTTAAAAATATAATGGAATGGTTTGTTTTTTTTTTGGTGAGAGTTAATACTGGAAATGGGTAGAAGAAGAATAGGTAAAAATTAGTTGGGGAATTCAAGAAAACATCATCCACGAATGTTTCTGGAAAGAAGCAGTGGTGTGTTTCCTTGTTTTTCTCCCACACTATCCACTTTTATTCTTGATCCCCTTTTCACTGATGATCGATCACCGATGCTTTCTCTCTCCCCCTCACTCCATGGCATTTTCTCTCTCTCTCTCTCTCTCTCTCTAGAGTGCGTTGCGGTGGAGGAGAGAGAAATGTTTGACTTGTTGTAGCCACCCCCGCTTTCAGTATCGTGCAGAGTAGTTAAGACATGAAACTGATCTATCTACACTGTATTTATTATTTTTATTATTATTTTCATATGTTATTATTAATTAATTATGCCTTCATTTCAAGACGGTTTTTTTTCTTTTTTTTTAAATTCAATTCCATTTTCATTTCCCTCGTACATCGATATTATACGGTTAGATTCTTGCGGGTTTTTTGTAATTTTTCGGTTAATAATTAGGGTAAATTCCACTTTACCCCCTTGTACTCTGCCCAAGAACCACTTTACCCCCTCGTACTCTTAATTTCGTCGATTTACCCCCTTGTACTTGTACAATTTTCCAATACAACCCTCTTCGTCAACTTTTTTCGATTTTGACTCTGACGCCATTTGGTCAAGAGTCAAAATATTGACGTAAATATTGAATTTTTTCGATTTTGACTCTCGAGATTAGAAAAGAGAAAGTTTCACACATTCATATATTTTTTTCTTTGCACTGAGTGGAATCGATCAATTTTTGGGTCTTGATTTTTACTAAGTTAGGTGTTCAATTTGGGGATATCTTGGAAGGGGAAGTGGTGGAAGAAGAAGAAATGACAATATTGACGGAGGAGAAACGACGCGTCAGTGGCAATTTTGTAATTTACAGAGTTGACCAAACGGCGTCAAAGTCAAAATTGACAAAAGTTGAAGGAAAGGGCTGTATTGGGAAATTGTACAAGTACAAGGGGGTAAATCGGTGAAATTGAAAGTACGAGGGGGTAAAGTGGTTCTCAAGCAGAGTACGAGGGGGTAAAGTGGAATTTACCCTAATAATTATTATATGAATTATGAAATGGTAAATAATATGAATTGAGATTTGAGCATATTGTTGAGAGAATGTTAGGAGAAGAAAATTCGAAAGCAAGAAATATAGGAGAGAGAATCTCACAAGTTGATGAACGATTATTTTATAACAATGTAATAGAATAATAAATATTTCTACATTTAACTATTTGAAGCAAATGGGATTTAGTTTACTTGTACAAATATTTGACTGAATCCTATCCGGCAAAGAATGCAAAGGAAATAGGATTGGTTGCATTCACCTCCTCCGTTTCATCGTAGGATTCTCTTAAACTCCTCGTTTTTCTTGGCGGGGTAATGATGAAATTTTGTGGAGACATATTTTCACCATCATTTGGTTGCATTTCTTGAGAATCGTCTTCTTCGTCTCCAATGGTCTGCCAAATTAATGATTTTGAATTTTTTGAAAAATCATAAGAGAATTTTTCATCAAAACGAACATCCCGACTTATCACAATTTTTTTCGTTCGAGGATTATAAAGCTTGTAAGCTTTTGACCTCTCACTATACCCAATGAAAATGCATTTTTCGGCTTTATCGTCGAGGTTGGTCCTCGTAGCATTTGGAATATGTGAATATGCAAGACAACCAAATGTTTTAAGATGACTAACATTTGGTTTCTTACCATACCACATCTCATTTTGAGTAGAATTCTCCAAGCTCTTTGTCGGTGATCGGATGATCAAATAAACGGCGCAAGCAACCGTACCAGTTCAGCCCAAAACTCCGATGGAGTATTTTTCTTTTTCAACATACACCAAACCATATCCATTATTGTTCATTTTTTTCCTCCGCGTTGTGGTGTATACCGGGCCATCAATTCATGTCTAATAGTAATACTATGGATTCGACAAAATTCTTCAAATAAAGAAGATAAATATTCCCCACCACGATCATTTCTCAATTTTGTTATTTTGAAACCGGAAAATTTCTCAACTTTGATTTTAAAATCCTTGGAGTATGAAAGAGTTTCGGATTTTTCTTTCACAAAATAAGCCTAAACCTTTCTTGTAAAAGCATCAATAAATAACAAGAAATATCGATTACCACCGAGAGAGGGACATCAAAATGGCCCACAAAGGTCACTATGAATGAGCTCCAATGGTGACTTTGATTTTCAATTTGACTCGGAAGGAAATGGCTCTCGGTGTTGCTTCCACAATTGACATTATTCACAAATTTCGTCAATGGCTTTAATTTTCAGCAATCCTTGAACAATTTCCTTGTTTGATAACTCCTTCAAACTTTGGAAATTAAGATGCCCGAACTGGTCATGCCACAACTTTGAAACTCCGTTCTTCACAGTCAAATTGCAAGACGCATCAAAATTATCAAGTTTGATTGGAAAAATACTATTTCCAGTCATATCGATATTTGCAATGTGTTGATCCTTCTTTTTCAAAATGCAAGTGAAGTCGTCGAGAAACACGTTGAAAGGTTTCCTCATCAAGTGACCAACACTTAGCAAATTACTTGCCACGTTAGATACATAATAAACATCGGACATTGTTTTGGCCTTTCTGGATTTTGTTTTGAAGACAATTTCTCCAACACCTTCAAATGTACAGGTGTATCTATCTCCAAGCGTAATTTTCTCATGATTAGCTTTGACAAAATTTAAGAATATTTTTTTATTCCATGTCATGTGCTTGCTCGCACCACTATCTAAATATCAAATATTTTCAAAGCTACTGTTAGATGCAATCAATAAAATCTCCATATTTTCAACTTTATTTTCATGCAAATAACCAACTTCTTGCTTTTTTTTTTCCAACAATCATTGATTTTGTGTCCGAGTTTATGATAAAAATGACATTCAACATAAGTTCTTGTACATTTATATGATCCTCGTCCTCGGCCTCTTTCTCTTTGAAAATTGTTCATAAAATATTTTTCCTCCTCTTTCGCCTCATCATTTGATTTGACTTGTCCACGGTAATGGTTGTAAGTATTTATTCCTCCTCTTATTTGGCCACTACCTCGGCAAAGTCCACGGAACGAACCACGGCCTCCCGTGAATGTAACTTGGGATTTTAGTGTTTGATCCGAAGAAGAAATTTGAGGATTTCTTTTGAAGGATCCTTGCTTCGTGCCTTCAATCGTCCTTGTAGACTCTCCAACGCCATTGATGAAAGATCTTGTGACTCTTCGATAGCCACAACAACATGATCAAATTTCACCGGCAAACTTCGCATAATATTTTCGACAACCCTTTGGGTTTCCATAACTTCGTCATTTGTCGCCATTTGACTTTCAAGAGAGGTGATTCTTATAAAATATTCAACAATTTTTCCGTTTTCTTTCATGTCCAATTTTTCGAATTTAGCCCGCAAAGATTGCAAACGAACTTTCTTTACTTCATTTTTCCCGGCATAGGTTGTTTGTAGAAGTCCCCATGCCTCCATGGAACTAGTCACCTTGGTTAGTCTTTCATAGACGGGAACTTCGATTGCTTGATATATTAAAAGAGCTTTTCGATCTTTTCGTCTTTCGGTTTTCAAAGTTTGCCTTTGTGCATTCGTCAATTGATCCTCATTTTCAAGACAAAGCTTCATTAGATTACTTCAATAATCGATTTTTTCTCCATTGAAACGAGGTATAAGTGAAGCAAGGTTGGTGGACATTTTTTTAAGGTGACTCTGATGCCAATTTGTAGGCATCAGGATGGGATAAAATGATTAATCCCGAAATTGATTTTTAGTGAGTTTGTGAAGACTTGAAAAAATAATATTTTTGAGTAGAGAAAGTAATAAGACTAGTGTTTTGTAGATGGAAAAATTACTTTTTTTTTGTTTTTGTTTTTTGTCTTGCTTACAATCATCTCTAACACTCCATATATATTTATAATGGGGAGTACATTATTATTCTAATAAATTATCAGATAACTCTTACACTAACAACTCTTCTAATTTTTAATTTAATGCATAGAAAAATCAAAAGAGAATTGTCTAGATACATCTAGATAATGGTGATTCAAATTCACATTTATTCTAACATTCAATCTCTCACTTCTTCCAACATGAATGTCCACTTTTTCCAATATTAGATTGCCACTAATTCCAATATTGAATTCACATTATCCACTTATTCCAACACTTTTGTGGTCTTGACGCCGAATCTTCTAATCATCTCTTTATTAGATAATGTCCTTCCCTTCATCAAATGTGGTTCATTTCTAATACGGAACCTTCGTATGGATCCTTTTATAAATGAACCGATTAAAGATTGGATCATTTTATAAATGAACCTTCGTATGGTCTTGCTTCATGTGCATTCATCATTCGAAATGACAATGGTTCTATCGTTTTTGCTCACTCAAGTATGCACCATTGTCAAGATCCTCCTCTTGTTGCATAATCCATTGCTATTAAAGCTTGCATTTTCATTTATGGAGCTAATGAAGTTGAAAAATGTGTGATCTTTGAGATGGACTCGCTCAATGTTGTCAAGTTCATCACTGACCCTTGTTCATCAATTCATTGGTCTTCAAGCCGTATTATCCATGAGATCAAGAAATTTGGTTTTTTTCTCAAAATGCTAATTTTGCAGCTCATTAGTCATTATCTCGTTAAATGGGCTTTTTGTTGTAGTTGGTTAGGCTTAATTTCTGTCCAATGTATTCGTTCCATTTGTTTTTGTGATGGGCTATCCTATTACCGAGTGTTTTCATCTTGACGCTTAATTAATATATCTGAAACGTTAAATATCATTTCAATTTTATCAATGTCGTATTGACTTCGAACCTGATTTTGACATATTTTTATTTTGATTTAGGCGAAATTCGAAACATGAAAACTGTTGTCATTTGGGTTAGTTTTCTAATCCAACTTACATCCGCTAGATTGGATGCCGTGTGACAAAGTTATGCATGAATGATTCACATTTTGAATTTTAGATACAGACCTTTATACATCAAAGTTGTGGGCAATATCCATTGATTCATGTATATCTTTCAAATTGGAATAGAAAACTTACTCAGAATACTACAAATTCTATTTTTCGGGTTTTGCAAAATTTGGAATTAAAAATGAACAAAATCACGTTTGAAGTCGAAACGGTATTATTAAAGTTCGAACAACATTTATCACATCCTTATATATTCCTTTTGCTGATTAAAAAAAGAAAAAAAAAAACAAAAAACAAAAAAAAAATTGCTCAAGGATCACATGTAAAGATAAGGTGGGACCAACATCAACCCAATGTTTGGATAAATATATAAATCTCCATTGATTATTTTCAGACTAATAATTCCAAACAAAATGGCATCATCATTCTTTGTATCACCACCATTTCTCTCTCACCCTACTACTAAATCAAGAACCAATCACTTCTCATCTTCTTCGCAAACTCCAACTCCACAACAGCCATCTAACAATAATCTACCCCAACAACCGCAAAACCCGGCCCCGGCTCAACCGCTCAGTGCAAACTCAGCAGAGCCGCCGCAACCACCACTAGCCACCACTAGAGCGGCGGCGGAGCAAAGGCCGAGTAAGGCTGCAGCCACCAAAACAACAGCAGAGTCTACTGATTGGATTGCTTCAAACTTAACTAGGCGGTTCGGCATCGGCGCTGGTCTGGCATGGGTTGGTTTTCTTGCTTTCGGAGTTGTCTCTGAACAAATCAAGACTCGGTTAGAAGTTTCACAACAAGAAGCAAACACAAGGTAACAAACATATTTATCGTGACACTTGTGAAAAATAATAATTAAATATTATTTTATGTGACAATATAATTTAGAGCTAATAGCACATACCTTCTTGTGCTGTTTTTAATGGTCAAAAAAACCCTTCCGTTAAAAAAACATTAGCAAGAAAATTCCATGTTGTGTATTTTAAAGCATACCGATTCTTATTTCGATATTTATTGTTGACTTATGTTAAATGACCAAATTACCCTTACAAAAGAAATATTAATAAAACAAGAAAGGAATAAAAAAGAATTTTAGAGGGTATTTTTTATTTTCAAGTCAAAAAATACATTTCTACTCTCAGAATCTGCGCGTACATTACACAATAAGCTGTTGGGAGTTTTTTTTAGCTTTGCTTATTTCTTACAGGGGTGTTCTTGCTAATTTTTTTTTAAAACACCGATTTGTTCAGCAATTAGAGTTCTTCACCAAATTTCTTTATTATTTTGTCAATGATATTTGGATACTAGGAATTGAGTTCTTCACCAAATTAAACCATTGACAAACATAGACCACTCTCTCATGGTGAATAGTTAATATTTTGCAGAGATGTTGAGAAGGAAGAAGAGGTAGTCTTGCCTAATGGCATAAGGTACACACACAAATATTCACTTCACATACACCAACAATTAATCCTTTTTTCATTTTCTATTATCGACGAAAAATATAACTTCCGATAAATAAATAAATAGGTATTACGAGCTTAGAGTTGGCGGCGGGGCGTCACCGAGGGCGGGAGACTTGGTGGTGATTAATGTGAAGGGAAGCGTGTTAGGAAGCGGAGAAGTGTTTGTCGACACATTTAGCGGTGAGAAGAGAGCGTTGGCTCTCGTAATGGGTTCGAGGCCGTATAGTAAAGGAATATGTGAAGGTGTAGAGTATGTTATGAGAAATATGAAAGCCGGTGGTATAAGGAGAGTTATAATTCCACCAAATCATGGGTTTGGTGAAGAAGGTGCTGATTTGGGTGAAGGTGTGCAGATTCCACCTTTTGCCACACTTGAATATGTAGTTGAGGTTGATAGGGTTTCAATTGCACCAGCTTGATGTATATATACTTCTTTAAGCCATCCTCTTAAGATATATTTATGCATTTTTTATATGAACATTTGAATTAGATGGATATATTTTATTTTATAATTAAATTTATGTGTGGGTTAATTAATACTTGTGGAAATGGATCACGTTCCGGTAAGGAATTAAAGTCAAAACGGATTGCCCGTAAATCGGCTCAAAAGATTTAACAATAATTAATTTTATGGCAAAATTTGTTAAGGGCTATGTAATACTGACACGGAAATGCGGAGATGGTGAAACAGGGAAACGGACATGGGGAAACTCCATTTTTCAAAAAATTGGATACGGGAATAGAAAACGTGTAAATATTAAAAATGTAGGGGTACATTTATAATTTCTGAAAAATATAATAACGTTTAATTTATATACTTATTGTTAATTACATATATGTATCTAGGCATTATATATAATTTATAAGTTTCAATCCGAATTATCATCCACAAATTACATTCGGGGCATAAAAAATTATTTCAGTATCAATTAGCATCTACCAAAAATATTAAAACACCACTAGAAGTGAAAAGGTAACATAAAATTTCAATTTTTTGCCTAAGTGTAGACAATTTCGAGTCTTTATTTAAAACTTTTTTTTTTATGGTGGAAACGCGTTTCCATTTTTTCATTATTACGAGAAACATCCCCGAAATGTTTAAATATTTACGGAAACGCCGCCGAAACGTTTACGACAGTTGTCATGGCGTTTCGATTCCCGAAACATTTTCTAGACATGAAAATGCGTGTGTATAGAAGTTCTTGTGCATCATAGATTAAAGGAGATCATTTGTTCTTCGATTTCACAAGAAAAGCATGACTAAGCTATAAAAAAAAAAAAAACCTCTTCGATCCACATGTAATCTTCGGGTCTTTCTTCTTGGGTAGGTGCACTTAGTTCATTCTTCAGTAGAATTATCTTCAGAAAATCGCTAAAGAGTTTTGCTGATCCATCATTCAATTTCTTCTGTTCAAATTTTCGTAGTGTGGCTCACAATCACAAAGATGGATCCTTTTTTCACCTAAGCCCAAAATAGATTTGAGTTGTATAAATGAAGTAGACGACTCAATTTTTCTTGTTTCGTAAAATGGTAAGAATGCAGCCACATCCTCCCGATGTTGAATTCACCAAACTAGTACTGCAAGTTATTGTCAAGATGAAACAATGCTCGGTTGCCCTTTATTGTGTTCGACGAAATGCGTCAATGGGGGTGTCGGATGTCCCTGTAGATAAGTACACGATGAGCATCTTGATTAATTAACTGCTATTGCCTCTTGAAAAGGGTAGATGTTGCGATATTCACCACTTTGGTAAGGTGTCTGAGGCAGCAAAATTGTTCAAGAAAATTTTGAATTTGAAACTTTGTTGCTGCCCGTTATTTGCTTTGGTTATTGGAGGAGACTATATATAAACCGAGTGTTATGGCTTATAATGCGGTTAGTGATTGCTTTTATGCAAGCGTCGAATGGTAGATAATACTCTCCAACTCCAGATTTCACCCACCATTGTTACATATAGCTCGTTGGTTCAGGGCTTGTGCGATTTCGGTAGATGGAAAGAGGTTTGCTAAATGAAATGGTCAATCACAAGATATTCTTAAATGTTTTTACTTTTAATATATTGGTGGACGCAGTTTGCAAGGAAGAAAACGCTGAAGATGTTGGACCATTTGTACCTATATGAATCCGAATCCTGATTCATGGATCTCTCGGTTCGAGAAATCAAGATAAGAGGATAAAACCATTTCTTCTAACTCTTCTTCAAATTCGATAAATGTTGATTGATCGTATATTTCAACATAGTTCTATGATTCAGAGTATCATTGCCTATTTGATCCCTTTGAATTTCGCATTTGAAGTTGCGATATTCATTAAAAAAAATCGAGTCAATATATCAATTCTTCAACGAGCACGGCCCTTAAGCCATCTATTATTTGCTCTTTAATCAACGGTTATTGCGAGAGCGGAAAATGTGTTTGACACGTGGACTTTGGATTAATTGTTTGACTGTCTATTGAAACATAACATTTGTTTATAGCCATGTAATATTTGAACAATGTTGTAAAAAGCGGTAATCGGGTCCGAGTCGGTCAGGCACCGACTCACGATTAATCGGTGCGGCGGTGATTAATCGGTGATAAATCGGAAATAAATCGGTTTTTAAAATTTAATATAATATATTTGTAGATATTATTTATAAACACTCAAAACATAGATAAAAAATATTTAAACATAGTTATATCTCCATCATGTATATATATTCTAATAACATAATAAAAGTTTAATAATAATAAGATCATAATACATAAATATCCTTATAAAATATAAATAAAAAGGCAATTTTTTTTTGAATTTACATACATTCTTGGCATACATCATTAGTTCTTTAAAAATAATAATTAACATAAACAAAATAAAGCATAAACTCCTTTTTTTTTATTAAAATCCCAACTTTTATTTTGATTTATAAAAAAAAAAAAAAAAAAAACCGATTTTTGACCGATTTTTTGCCGATCGGACCGCCTCAGACCGCCTCAGACCGCCTCGGACCGCCTCAAACCGTCTCACAAGCAAAAAACCGATTTTTCAAACCTTTACACTAAAATCGTAAAGGTTTTGGACCGCCTCCGCCTCGGCGACCGATTAATCGGCCGCCTCGGCCGATTTTTAGAACACTGTATTTGAATGGCCAACATAAAAAATTAAGAATACACCAAAGCAATGAAATAATTTGAGGCTTCATATTTTAATATTTTATTATTTCTTAATTTAATTTCATTGTGCCCCACTAAACAAGACCTGTTTAATATTTACTCAATTTATATATTACAATAGATGCAATACAAATTTGACGGCCAACCACCCATAAGTTACTAGTCAAATTTTTATATACCTAATAATAACCATAATAATAATATTAGTGCGATCGATTTTTAATTTTTGTTTTGTTAAATATATTTGATTAGTTTAAGACACATAAAATATACTGAAATGTTAAATGTCGTTTCAATTTTACTAATGTCGTTTTGACTTCGAACCTAATTTTGACATATTTTTATTTTGATTTTGGCAAAATTCGAAACATAAAAACTGTAGTCCTTTGGGTTAGCTTTATAATCCAACTTAAATCCGCTAGATTGGATTTCGTGTGACAAAGCTATGCATGAATGAGTCACATTTTGAATTTTAAATACCTCAATACATCAAAGTTCTGGACAGTATCCATTGATTCATGTATATCTTTCTCGTCCGACATCCAATTTTGGTGATTCAAGTTGGATTATAAAACTAACTCAGAATAATACAAATTCTATTTTTCGGGTTTTGCAAAATTTAAAATTAAAAATAATCAAAATGACGTTTGAAGTCGTAACGGTATTATTAAAGCTCGAACGACATTTATCACATCCCTAAAATATAATGTTTTATATTTTAGATACTGCCCTTGACATATTAAAACTAAGCAAGAGTCCTCGAGATTAGAGATCAATTTTATATTTTCATAAGCATAAAGATTTGAGCAAGTTCAATAAAATCTGCTGAAGTAAATCACATAATCCTAATTTACGAATCATAAATGATTAAAAACCGCCTAATAAAAATAAAAACGTAACCGCCGCTAAAAACGTCACCGTTTCAATTAGCATTGCCGCCGTTAGCGGTGCCGTCAGTTTTGGTCATCATCTTCCGGAACTCGTCGAAGGAGACGAAACCATCACCATCGGAATCGACGGTCCTGATCATCCCGGCGCAGTCCTGCTCGGAGCAGTGCTCCCCGAGGCGCGTGAGGATCTGGTGGAGCTCGGCGGCGGAGATCTTGCCGTTGTGGTCCTGATCGTAGAGCTGGAAGGCCTCCCTGAGCTCCTTCTCGGCGGAGTTGTAGGGGTCGGAGTCGCCGCTGCAGAAGGCGGCGAACTCCTGGAGGTTGATGTGTCCGTCCTTGTCGGTGTCGATCTCCTCCATCATACGGGCGACCTCGTCGGCGGAGGTGCCGGATCCGAGGGCGTTGAGTACGCCGCCGAGCTCGTCGGAGGAGATCTTGCCGTCGCCGTTGGTGTCGAACCGCTGGAATACCTTTCGTACCTCGTCCATGTCTTGCAGGTACATCGACGCCTGGGGATTTGCTGCTGCGTTCGTCGCCATTTTTTTTTTCTTCTTTTGGTTTTGTGTGTTTGATGGATTTATTATTTGATATATTTATTTTTGTAGGAGTAAATGGTAGAGAGAGAGAGAGAGATGACTATATATAGGAAGAGGCGCCTTTGGGGTTGGGGGCCTCCCCACTTGGTTGTTCCATTATTCTTGTAAAATTTCCCATTTTCAGTTATTTGTAAAATTAGTGTTTGAAAATGCAAAGGCTTTTTTGGTTTTTATTTATTTATTAGGGTAAATTACAAGCACCCCTGATGTATGGTCAATTTACAAAAAACTTCTCTTGTTTGGATAATTACATCTATCCCCCCCATCTATGTTTTTTTTCTTACACCTCCACCATTATGGTGTCAAACTCAACATAATCATCTAGATTTCGTGGAATGTGCTCTAGTTTGTACTCATTTTGTGTAAAAATATCGTTTCTGATGCACCACAATCTGATATATACAAGCCAAAAAACACATATTATGATCATCTAGCTTCAAAATGTAGAGTTCGAATGGGATAAAACGGGTACAAAGTGATAATATTCCATATAATCTCGAAGATTCCACTAAATTTGAGGAGTTGAGGGGGTGGTTGTAATTATCCAAACAAGAGGGGGGTTTTCGTAATTTGACGATACCTCAGGGGTGGTTGTAATTTACCCTTTATTTATTAGGGTAAATTACACCCACACCCCTGAGGTATGCTTAAATAACTTTAAGGTCCTTGTGGTATAGATAATTACACTCACCCCCTGAAACATAGTTAGAAACTCTAATGGGATAATCCATTGGATACGTTATTCCGATAGAGTTTTAACGGACAATTACTTTTAGCTAGTGGTGGAGATAGCATAGAGTTAGGGGGTGATATATGGCTCCCCCAACATTTCTTAAATCACCCATAGTTTTTTATTGTCTCCACCACTTCCTGAAACTAATAGTCCGTTAGAATACTATCGGAATAATGCGTCCAATGCATTATCTCATTAGAGTTTCTAACAATGTTTTAGGGAGTGAGTGTAATTATCGATACCATATAGACCTTAAAGTTATTTTAGCATATCTCAGAGGTGTGACTGTAATATACCCTATTTATTATTTTTTAGAGAGAGAGTTTTTTGGGTATTTGTTCTAATTATGACCGGTCAACAACTATGGTCTTATTTTCTGATTATTTCAGAAATGACAACGAGTTGAAATTCGTTGGGCAATTTATTAGTGTGTTTCAAGGGTTTTTTTGACACTCTTTATGACTGGTAATTAAGTGGTCAACAACTAGGGCCCAATTTTCTGATTATATCTAAATTAAGTAGAAGTTTCTTCCTTTAAACATAACTCAGTAATTGGTAAGAAACATAGAGCGATTTTTTAGCGATGTTGTGGCATTTTGAATATTTTCTCATGATTTTCGATAATATTTATAGTATCAATATTGTTATGTATTTCGTCGGTTTCCGTCAAAACAATTCTGACCTGGAAAAATATTTTTCATTCTAAGATTTGAGATTTTCACCTTTTCCATTTATTGAATATAATGCAATTAAAATTAGAAGTAATTATTCAGTTCCCAGAAAAAAAATGTTTCTCAAAAAATATTAGGGTAAATTACACTCACATCCCTGAAGTATGCTTAAATAACTATAAGGCCCTTACAGTATCAATAACTACACTCACCCCCCTAAAATATAGTTAGAAACTCTAGTGGGATAATACATCAGATACGTTATTCCGGTAGAATTCTAAGGACTATTATTTTTAGTTAGTGGTGGAGACAACATTAGAGTTAGGGGGTGAAATGGATCCCCCAACATTTCTTAAATCATCCATAACTCTTTGTTGTCTCCACCACTTCTTGAAACTAATAGCCCGTTAGAACTCTATCTGGATAACGTATCCAATGCATTATCCCATTAGAGCTTCTAACTATGTTTCAAGGGGGTGAGTATAATTACCGATATCATAGGGACATTTAAGTTATTTTAGCATACCTTAGGGGTGTGGGTGTAATTTACCCAAAATATTAAGTTCGCCTCTAGTTTTAACCAACTAAGGTCATGTTTGCAAAAACTTTTAAAAAATAGATTATCAGCTTTTTTTCTTCATATAATCTATTTTTATGTCTTTGCAAAATCGACTTTTACTTTTGTTTGCATGCCTTAAAATAAGCTGCTTTAAGTTATAATTTTAAGAACACTCATGCACCCGCCTTTTTTTTTTCTTTTTTTTACATTGATCTTCCATATTTTTTACGAACACCCCAACTTTTAGAATTAAACACTTAATTCAACTTAAATCACACTAACTTATGCTTTTAAATAAGCTTTTGCAAACACCACCTAAGTTGAGATGAGCTATTTTTTTTTTTTTTTTGGTAATGCAGGAACCCGCAGCCAACCATATAGGTGCACTGGGTAAACCTAAGAGATGAGCTATTAGAACCATAGAAAGAGTGGTGCTATTTCTACCTCCAAAGTATCTCAATTCACCACCAAATATATATTAAATGTCATAAATACTCCTCAAATTTATAATCCACCACCCTTTTTTATATTCGCTTAATTCTCATGTGTTCTAGTTTATTTCATTTTATTTTATTTATTTATTTTTTTTGTAATTTTTTTTTTTGCAATGAAATATTTATTACAATATATTAAAACGTCTATATCAGATGACGTACATATTATATAATTTTTTTCTAGGAAACGAAATTATATTAAGCCAAATCGGTCAATTCTAGAGGAAGTTCAGGACATTCTATACAATCACTCTTAATTTATTTCTCCAAGAACGTGAAGTCCTGTTCTTTTTGACCTTCGAAAATGTTTTTCTCTGACGAAAGTACTATTCACTTAAGGTGGAGAGGATGAGATTTTGCAGTAAGATTCCAGTGAAAATGGTGGGATTCTTTTTATGAATATTTTAATTAGTTTAGTGGTGCACGATTTATAAATTTGTAAAAATATGTGTGTGAAAGAAGAAGAAATGGGCAAAATGAGGAATATATTTAATTTAGTGGTAAACTAAGATATTTTGAGGGTGGAAATAACACGTCTCTAAAGAAATTAACGATGGAAGGAGATGTAACTAATAAAAAAAAAATCTAGGTAATATTCTACCACATTAGTAGATTTTGTTTTTTCTTTTAGTAAATTCAAGTCCTTTAGGAGGGGAAGTAGGAGAAGGGGAATAAGGCTGGTATCAACTCTCCTAATGAGGATTGGTACATTAGTAGATTAATATAGTCAAATATTTAAAAGATCATAAAATTCACATCGAATTAAATGATAAACATTACTAATTTACCTTTCATAAAATAATATTATTAGGCACTGACTCTTGATCAATCGACGATAAATCGTGATTTATTTTAACGAGTCAT